TTTAACATGTTTCACTGCTGATCGAACCTTCACTGCCTGTGCTAAAGACTAACGAATAACTTCTATACAAAATCTGCTTTTATAATGTAAAACTTGGAGTACATTCTTTACATGAGTTATTATGAAAATTTTTTCAAAAATCCTGCAATTTTTAATAAAATTATTTTCTACGGTATGTATTCGATATATCATTAGTGTAATCTGTAATATTAATTTCAACGGTAATTAATTTATATTGTATTGTCGCCAATTGAACGAAAAATGTGATATTAAATTAATAAGCGAAAAAGAGATAAGAACAATTATATTTCATATTAAGAGCTAATCGTTCGATTACCTGAAAAAATTGATTATCGAAACAGGAAGTCTTCTGATTAACTCAAATTATCGACGTTCTGTCGTACGTATCTTTTATATATCGAACCAAGAGTCCCATTTGCATCCAGCTTCCTTGTTATTTTGCGACGAAAAAGCCCTTGTAAACAAAGTCGTTAAATGAAAATAAGAATGAGTACCTGATGTTTGAACCATTTACCGAATAATTCCTATAATCGGTATTAATGTTTCTACTTTGGTCATAAAATTACCTGTAACTAAGCGTATCATTTTCTGAATAACTACTTTCACGTTCGACGCAAAGTACCTCGTTATAATCCTCTTCGAGTAACTCCTTATTCAATTTCGCATAATATTTCGCGAATCTGACAAATGTACATGTGAAATTCGCGTGATAAATATATGCGATACAAAATAACAGATAGTTGTAAAAAAAATATTTAAAAAGGTAAAATATTTCAAAAAATACTTAAGATAATTATTTATCACTGAAATGAAAATTCGAGGTAAATGCCAGTTAAATTCGGCGTAGTCATTCGAACACAATAACACTGGACATAATGTATAAAGAATTAGCTAGCAAGCTTAAAATATCACGGCTGACTCTTCGCAGAGGGGTAGCACGGAGAGCATGGACAAAGAAAGAATTTTGAAAAACGTGGAAATATGGAAATAGCGTTAAAACGCTTCACTCTAAATTCAGTCGCTTGTCTCACAAAAAATACCTGGAAGACGCGAACAAAAGTGGCAGTCCTTAAACAATTTAACATGTTTCACTGCTGATCGAACCTTCACTGCCTGTGCTAAAGACTAACGAATAACTTCTATACAAAATCTGCTTTTATAATGTAAAACTTGGAGTACATTCTTTACATGAGTTATTATGAAAATTTTTTCAAAAATCCTGCAATTTTTAATAAAATTATTTTCTACGGTATGTATTCGATATATCATTAGTGTAATCTGTAATATTAATTTCAACGGTAATTAATTTATATTGTATAAAATTAAAAATTAATTTTATAAAATAAATGTAACATGAAATATTTAATTAAGAGTTTGTTATAATTTATATAAAATTTGTATTTTCAATACCGTTTGATAAATTATTAAATTATCTCAACATATATTTGTCATACTGCGAATATCGTATAAGCGACGTTCATATATTCCATGTCTTCCCAAGCTACACCGATGAATATTGTACGAACAGGTTAGAATAATAATCTTTTATTTTCAAACGACTTTCTAAAATCATAATTCTCATTGTTATCCTTATAGAAGGCTTTGAATAGAAATAACGTTAATTTCAATAAAAAATAAGTAAAAATCTAATTGTATAGATAGAGATATGCTTCCTATATATATATATACATTCGAACGAAAATATTGCCTAATTAGTATAAAAAAAAAATCACCGCACCTTTCACTGCACAATCATCATACGATCGTAATATCACGATATTAATTCAGTTCCGAAATGAGATTTATAAAAGAATAATTATAAAAATATATTGTCTTTTCGGAAAAATAATTTTACGATACGATTTATTTGAAAGAAGGAAAAATGAAAATTTATAACGATTATAATAAAATATTTTATAATAAATATCTTAACACGCATTTTTAACTATAAAATAACTAACCTAACCATAAAGATATTATAAAATGTCGAATTGAATAAACTGTACATTATTCGTATTTTACGACATCACGCGCAGAAGACACATATATGATTTTACTTTTACGGTAAAACGTGTTTTAATAATCTATAAAAATAGAAATTATTCGAAATATCGACGAAATATTGATTGATAAATAGGTTAATAATCCATACCTGAAAATCTTCCGAAAATTATAACGATCTGTATCTTCGCCATGTTGAAAAATAGTCGTATTCTAACGCCATAACGGATTTGGAAAGTTGCGTCATCGTTTCCACATTGTCTTAAACGCACACGTGTACTGCACACTGTAACCGAGTTAACCGCCGAAAAGTGCGACAAAGTGATTCTATAAGCGATTTATCGGTTTAAATTAAGAACATTAGCGTCATGGCACTCGAATCGACTCTCTACGCGTGGACGATTACCTCTCTCCATTTTCTCCGATAGGTGTAATGTGCGGCACTTGACGCAGGAAGTGCATAAAACCGGAAGCTACATCAGCGACCCTTCGGCCTCGATTCGACGAGTGGTTACAAACGTAAGAGAGAGAGAGACAGAACCATACGTTCATTCTGCCCTCCTCCGGTCGAATAACGTAACAACATATCGGAAATCGACACGTGATCGTTTCCCTGGATAATATCGAACACTACTTTTCGACCATCGCGACTCTACTGCGACACAATGCAATTTTCACCGAATATACATAAACTGTATCCGCGCTAACTTCGTTGTACCTCGTGTTAACAATTAACAGTCTACTTCCAGCCTACTCGAGATTATTCGAGGGAATCTGAATGAATAAACGAGATCCTTAACCACCACACCGCATACTGCGGTATCAGTTTGGTTTACCTTGAATTGGTTACGTGTAATTGCGAAGTTCACGTCGATTATAACCGGAGGTCACTAGTAGTGATTTTCGAACTTGATCGAAACTGAATATACGATACTTTTATTATTTGAATAGCTTAGTTTTAATCACGTTTCGATATCTCAATATAAATTTTTTTCAGAAAACTGTTGATGATATTTTTAGTGGATAAACAAAACAAACTAGCTAACGAGTTACGATCATAGTAACAAAATTCGAATTGATAGAATTTATTCCAATGAAATTTTGGAAATGCAGAAATTTTTTTTAATAATTAAGTAATTTAAATGTATTAGGTAAAAATGTTATTTAGTATACAGTTTTATGGTAATATATGAGAATTTAACTAATTAGCAAAATGTAACTAACTTCTTTACCGACAATTCTCTAGCTTTATAACCTTTTTGAAGAGTTAATTCGCATGTTCCTTCTTGCGATAATTATTTTTTTATGGACTTATATTATCTTAATATAATCTTATTTGCTGCTTCTTTCATTTTTATTCCGATTTTTCTCAGACCCCTCGACAATTTCATCATTAATTATGTCTTTAGTTTTATCATTTGTACATCATTCTCTTATCTCGTTTCTATCACATTTATAACCTTAATGTATTATGTAAAGATTAAAAATTTAATTTGAACGATCTCGGGATAATCATATTCTACCTCATGTTTTAAGATTATATTCGTAGTATTTATATTTGTATTTACATTAAAACAATCCGAAATTTTCAAATTTTTTATTTTCCTATTACCTAACCTAAATTAACTTAATTAGTTAATTTATTTAATTTGTTTTTAATTATTTCTATAAGAATGTCTATTTTAACGTTATATTATACGTCAGTATTTTTTGTAACATACTTACATAATCATATTAAAACAAGCAACACGAGAACAAGTGTATAAATTGATAGTCCTAATTCATGTTCGTTCCTTTCGATTGAATCGAAATTGATCCGAATTAAAATCAACCTCGCACATTGATACACCTAAAAATACATTAACGGGATGAACTTTTTAAAGAATATATTTTTCGAAAGTCGATTCGCAAATAAAGATTTTATTAATTCATCGAAATTTGAAAATTCATCTTAAACAGATACGTTAATTAACAAAATTAACAAAATTAGTTGATTCCGTAACCTTAACTCGAAATTACAAACGTAATTAACTAAACGATTCTCGTTATACCTTAGAATTTTCAATCTACTATAGATTCGAATACGATTCAATTTTGAAATATCTCATGTGTGTTAACTTTGTAATTGTATTAAATATGAATTAAATATGAATTAAATAAAAAATTAAATAAATAATTTACTGTACGAAAGCTAATAAATAATATTCCATATTGCATCATCAAATATTCGAGAATCGTTGAAAAAGTATTATTATCGTAATATTAATTATACTCTGTAATACTCTGTACCAACCTATATTAACCTAAAAATAAACTGTCATTTGTACTGAATTTTATGAGATTAAAAAACGTTTAATATCGATTAATGCTCGAATTGAATATACAAATAAATCAAGGGTTTTGAATAACCTAAATATCGTAACGTTTAAGGAAGCTGCAGATAGACGCGCCAAAAAGTCTTCCATAAGCACACATCATTTATCAAGCCATGTGTCGGTAAGAAACGCACCATAAAAGATACCTATGATGTAAGATTCATCGCTCTCACGACAATTGAAACAGGTTTTTACAAGAAGTACTCAAGTGTTATTTGATGTAATAACATTGAGTGTCGTTTAATGTAACAACTCTCGAGGACTACTAAATAAAACTTCGTAATTAGAGTCAAGCGACTCTAATCAAGACTTTCAGTTCATTTCCTCCAACGAATCCCGAAGCACCTGCTAGTACGAGATTCGCTCATATCCGAAATTTTCTTCCAATAGGAATTGATCTGGTTCACCGACGCAACGAGATTGGCCAATTTAAAGCGAAGCTTGTCAAACTCGATTCAATTCGATTCATCTCGATAACATTCCTCGGATAAGGATAAAATAATGATGAAATATTATAAAATTGTACACACAAAGTTTAACGTATGTAGATTATCAAAGGGTATTTATGAAAATAATTGTATAAGAATAAAATGGATCACTTACTTTTGGCGATATCCTCTACTGCACCTTGCTTCGTAATCACGATCGTGATATTCTTGCTCACGAAGAAGGGCTTAACACGTTCACAATCGGTGGACACGAAGTCGGTATCGTTTTCAGGATGTTCGGCGAAACGCGGCGATCGAGATGACACGAGATCGGTGCAACCGCATAATAATATCACGATCGACACAGGTGCCAGAATTGCACGATGATGCCTCTGAATTAATTTCATTTTGGCAAAATAGCCAACCGGCAGGACGAATGGGTAGAAAGCAGTAAAAGCGAAAGAAAGAGAAACCGAGCGGAAACTGCGAGATAGGCTGGTGGTAAGTTCCGTAAATCGTGCTCAAGAGCGTGAGAAGGATAGAGAAAAAGAGACGAAGCACGAGCAACGAGACGATTCAATTCCTCCTTCTCCTCCTTCGTCGTCGCGTATTCGGTACGATCGTTCGAAGAGTCATCAACCGCGGAACGAGACGCGGCTTCCCCTTTCCTATTCGTTCTTCGAATCGGCCGCGCTGTCAAACGGCACGGCAACAACCACGGGTGTTACTGCGAGATCTCGAGAAGCGCGAGACGTGCATTTGGTGTGATCGCGATGGACGGACAGACGAGACGACGGCTATAGTAATCACGACATGCACTGTCGAGACCGCGCAACACCGTGTTATAGCCCGCACACATGCACACGCGACCACTCTGGGTACACCACAATAATAAGCACACACATGCACGCACGTTTAACCGCACGCAAGCATGCATGCATGCACTACGCGACACGCGTTCCACGAGTAGCTCGATGCGACTGAAGTGCCGAGAGCGGCACCGCGTATTCACAATTCGACCGACCGGCACTCTCCCACTACGCTTCCTCCGATTCGTTCGCTACCCTATACCCTCTCCCACCTAACTTTCAATCCACTCCGAACTGCTTGCCCACCTACTTGCTTACTTACCTACCCAAACGGCACTTCTGATGCCTTTCGAAGACGTTACGTGCCGCCACTGATCGCTCTTTTGCCTTACATTTATTTTAATCATAATGCAAAATAAAATTATTAATATATATATATTATAATAAGCCACAATTGAAAAAATTAATCAAGAAACGAAATAAAATTTATAATAAAATTCAAAGTTTACTGAGAATATTAAGTAAAAATATATAAAAATACTTTTTTAACTATCAAAATATAAAAAAATGATGTTGAACACATTAAATTGTTTACAAAATAATGTTTAGCATACAGAATGAAATATTTAAATAAACGTAATTTGTGTTCTTGTTTGATTCACTTGCCACACATTCAATGCTTCGTATTCTTCGATGCAGTCGTTAACTTGATCGGGTTTAAATCCTTTACTAGTACAGCGTTCCAATATATCTGATACCTTAACGGTTTTCTTGTCACCAGATAATTCCCTAATAAGATGAAAAATTCGATTCATTGGATTTTGTTGAACATTGGTGGATAATGTTTCGGAATAGTTAATAGAATGCTTAGACATCTCTATTAATCTATTCGCCTCAATGACATCCGCCTTTTCGACGACATTTGATAATCTTAAACGCGCCAGTGCAGTCGACAAACGTAATAGTCCCAGTAAATTACGCGCAGAAGTAAAAGTTTTGTCCTGGCTATTGCGAGCCGCTCTTCTCATTTCCACGTAAGATTCTAAAAATAACAATTTTATTTAAATTCGATTATGCATATAGTAATAAATATCGCACTATGCGAAAAACAAATTTATGATTAAAGATTTTTAATACTACTCTTACCGACTATATAGTCAGTCAACTCTTCTGGAATAACGGGCTGTTTGGTTTTGCATAAGGTAATATATTTTCTCATTAAGTTCATATCCAAAGTGTTCGATTCTGTGGGTGGTTGTATACAATGTTGATGAACATAAGTTATGTGTTGAGCTAATCTGAAAAATATATTGAATTATTGTATACCATGTACAAATAAGAACATATTTGTACAAATACTAACTTTAAATCGTTACTACGGTCTGCTCGATCTTGAATTAACCACAGTAAATCAAATCGTGATAATAAAGCAGCAGGTAACTGAACATTTTGCTCAATTGTCCTTCTTGGATTATATCTACCATAAGCAGGATTTGCCGCAGCTAATATCGAAACTCTTGCATTCAAGCGAGTTGTAATTCCTGCTTTGGCAATTGATATAGTTTGTTGCTCCATCACTTCATGAATAGCAGTTCGATCAACATCTGCCATTTTATCAAATTCATCGATACAACAAACACCTTCATCAGCTAAAACCAAAGCTCCACCTTCCAGTATCATTTGACCAGTTAAAGGATCTTTCATAACTGAAGCAGTTAAACCTACTCCGGAAGATCCTCTACCAGTAGTATATTGAGATCGAGGTGCTAATCTTGTTATAAACGAAAGTAACTGAGATTTGGCAACTCCAGGATCACCCATTAAACAAATATTAATATTACCTATAAATAATAAATAGATGTAATACAATAAAAACACAACAAAAGAAAAGAAAAGTTTATACATATTAGGTAAATATATAAAACATAAACCTCTAATTTTGATGTCTTCTCTATGTTTGTCTGTACCACCAACTAATAATAATAAAAGTGCTTTTTTAACATCTTCAAGTCCATAAATTTCTGGAGCAATAGAACGAGCTAGTTTACCATAAAAGTCATCCTCCATTAATAAAGATAATTCCTCGTCTGTTAATATTGCAGCACTATCATTAATACTTTGTGAATTAGTGAGACAAACGATTCTCTACACCATATAAAATATACATATTTTATTATATTAAATATTAAGGATATATTACTATAAAATTATTAAAATGATTAACTTCATACATGAGCATCTAAATATGTTTCATTCAAAAGAGCTGCTCCGACACGTGCACTAAAGCCAGATTTTATAATAGGCAAAAAGATACCCGTAATAAGTACGTGATCTCCAGGTAAACATTTTCTTGTTATTTCACCTCTACAATATATTGTCAATGTTCTTGGAATGTGGCCTACAGGTACTTGATCACTCTTGAAATTATTAAAATTTAGTTACCATATTAAAATTATTTGATAAAAAATTTATTATTATAAAAAATTTGTAGACATATAAACCTTACATGTTCTTGTATTTTTAATTCTTGAAATTTTACAAATTTTGATCCTCTTGTTTGCATATCTAATACTCCACCAGATTTATTTATACGACAATCATCACTTGGACATTCTCGTAATGGCATGTATTTGAGGGATTGAACCTAAAAATTTGTATTGTACTATATTTTTACCTAACTCTAAACTATTAAAATATTATTCATCTCTTACTGGTTGAAATGTTTCAGCACCACATTGATCACATGTGTATGTAGCAACAACAAGCAAAGGCATTACATCACTGCATCTTGTTACTATACCACGTACTGTAACTAGTTTTCCTATCTTATCAGCTTTTATATCTCTCACAGAGTATGCTTTTGCAGTATCAAAATCTTTGAAATATACTTCACTAAAAAATACATGAAATTTTGTTGTATTATACAAATATATGCTTGTATAGAGAAATATAAATTAATATTAAAATGACATACAAGCGTCTCATAAGTTCTGGAGCATATTTATTCCTTGGATCACGTTGTTCTCCAAGATGTCTATTACGACCTTCCATTAATAATCTATGTTCAATATATACATCTAAAGCATCTTTTGGTGGTACAGGTCTTTCTTTAAAATCAGGTAACATCTCTTGAATAAGCTGTGTAAATAGAAGTATATTTTTACAGTCAATATAACAAATAAAATTGTATCTTAATTATATATTAAAGAATAAATATAATGTTTACAAATATTATATCTATATCATAAATACAAACTTACTTCTAAAAGTAAATTGACATATCTTCTGGTATTGTTTGCTATTAACATTGCTAATTCATCATCGAATTCATTAATATCATCTAAATCAATTGTTAAATTTACTTGTTCACGGTGAGCAATATTAGTTAGTTGTTTCCTATATTTAAATATTTTTTCACCAGTTGTATCATTCACTATTACACACTCCGTCAAAAAAGTTTTTAGTTGTTCTAACATAATATATAAAAATTAAAATATTTGTTAATTACATTTTAATTACAATATAATTTCTATGGTTAGATAATACTTATAATAGATATACTTACCTCTAATTTTTGTATAATCCCTTGATATCTTTGGTGGCATTTTCTCAGATTTATCTTTACAATTATTTTCAAATTTAATTTAAACTCTATTTCAACAATTTAACTTTTAACAATGAAATATAAAAACATCACGTATTCTCGAAGTAATCTTCCCGCCTAAACTATACCAGTACTTATCAGTTTGTAATATGGATAACTCGATCTTAAATTTAAGTATGATAAATTATATTTCAAATTAAAATCTATACATTGATATTAAAATAATCAATGTACTTATAAATCATCTTTTAATTTAAAAAATTTGTAACGTCTTAAATAAAAATTAATCTTTATATATGTTTTTATGTTTGATAATTGTTTTCAAAAATATATTTTCAAAAATTTATTTTGCAATATAAAACATTTAAACTACGTTACTACTATATCGAGAAGTATTTAAATAATTACATGCTTAAGAGTATTTTCGTAAATACAATTGATATCTAATAATTACAATTAAACTTGAACTTGTGTTTTAGAAATGAATAATTCATGTGCAATTTCATGGTTGGCAAGCCTCCTTTATTATGAACTGTAGACCTATGGTAAAGCAACCTATATATGTAGTTAGAAACCATATAATCATATAAATAGATAAAAACAAGTTGATATAAATATGTATAGAAACATTTATTAAAATCAAATATGTATACAAACTATCATAAATTACATTATCATTTTCTGTTTTTAGTCCAAATTTATTTATAATCTATAAATAATGTAATAACTGTTTGTATTGAAAACAAACTATTTCCAAAACCAAAATTCTCCTAAATAAAACAATAAAAGCATTTATATAATTAATGACGTTTTAGAAACGAAACTTTATGTGCATGATACACATATATATAAAACGATATTTATTAATATTTTTATGTTTTCAACTACTTATTTTATACTTGAATATATAACAGATGATAGTATAAATTTATCATTTAAAAATAATAATTTTATAATGATCATAAAAATTTAAATAAAATTTGGATGAAAAAGTTTGATATCTAAATTTATAAAAATTAAGAATAGGATAAATCAGAAAATTATTACTGAAAGAAAATTTAAGAACGCATTAAAATATGTTGGCGGTAAATATTTGAACACACAAGAATTTTAAATTAACATAGGATAGTACATAGTGTTCATACCACATCCTTGTGAACATTTGTTGTACACATGGTTATGTTTTAATGAGAGGTTAGAACGTTACACGCCTTTCTCTAGTGTACAAGATAATGTAAAACAGCAAAATGGGCAAGGCAAAGAAAATAAAAATTTCTAAAGGTGAAACAAAACAACCGAAAACCGCTTTGGCAGATCAAATAGAAGAAGAGAAAATTGTAAAATCAAAAAATAGACAAAAAGTTAGAATTCGCAATGAAGATGATGATAAGGTTGAACTTATATTTTTTAACTTAAATATAAAATATAAAAATGATTGTTAAAGTAAAATAATAGTTATAGTTAATAAAATTTTACTGATATTATTATTATTATCCACTATAAAGTAGAACAGAATATTTTTCAAATTAATTTAAATGTACAGAATTTCATGTAAAAGTAAATTATGATAATATAAATAGTAGTAAATTATTCATGTTAATTTTTAATATAATTTTGATTTCAATTGTGTAGTTCGTGGAGCCTAGTCTTACAAAACGTATTCTATCTCAAGCCAGACAACAACAAATGGAAATTGAGGAGGAAATTGGAATCAGACAAGCATCAAAGTCTATAAAGAAGCCAGTAGTAAAACTTGGCAGTAGTGCTGAATTTAGTGATATTGAAGAAGAACAATTAAGTGAAGATGAACTTGATACTTCTCAATATTATGAAAATATTGAAATAAATGAAGAAGATGAGCGTGCTATACAAATGTTTATGTCTAAAGACACCACACCTATGAAAACATTAGCTGATATAATATTAGAGAAATTAACAGAAAAGAAAACAGAAATTGAAAGTCAGTTCTCAGATGCAGGTTCCATTCAAATGCAAACATTAGATCCAAGAGTTAAAGCAATGTATGAAGGTGTTAGAGATGTATTAACAAAATATCGTAGTGGAAAATTGCCTAAAGCATTTAAAATTGTTCCCAGTTTAAGAAATTGGGAACAAATATTATATATTACAGAACCACCAAAGTGGTCAGCTGCAGCAATGTATCAAGCTACTAGAATATTTGCTTCCAATTTTAAAGAAAAAATGGCACAAAGATTTTATAATTTAGTATTATTGCCACGTATAAGAGATGATTTAGTAGAATATAAAAGACTAAATTTTCATTTGTATCAAGCATTACGAAAAGCATTATTTAAGCCTGGTGGCTTTATGAAAGGAATTTTACTTCCACTTTTAGAATCTGGAACATGTACATTAAGAGAAGCTGTTATTATTGGATCTATAGTTGCTAAAAATTCAATACCAATTTTACATTCTTCAGCAACAATATTGAAAATTGCAGAAATGGATTATACTGGAGCTAATAGTATTTTTCTTAGGATATTTTTAGATAAAAAATATGCTCTTCCATATAGGGTTATTGATGCAGTGGTATTTCATTTTCTTAGGTAAAAATTTAATTTTATTTATGCAGTATTTTTAATAATGATGCAGTTTCAATAAGAATTATTTATTTTTAGATTTGAGAGAGATCCTAGAGAGCTGCCAGTTTTATGGCATCAAGCATTATTAACTTTTGTACAACGCTATAAGGGTGATATTAGTTCTGAACAAAAAGAAGCTTTATTAGGATTATTAAGAAAACAATATCATCATACAATTACAGCAGAAATACGAAGAGAATTACAACATGCAAAGTGCAGAGACATAGAAGTTACGGAACCTAAATTAGAACCAATGGTTTATTAAATATTCATATTTCAATAAATTTACAATATAAAATTTCATAAAAAAAAAACGTTACTTTTTTCATCATATGTTTTAAATAATTAATATCTTTTGAAAGTAAAAATTTTCATATATAAGTCTGTAAATTCATACTTGTTTGTAAATTATTTTTAATTTCAAAAATAAAATGTGCAATTTACAAATAAATATTTCTAATAAATTCTTGAAAATTTTAGTATAAATTTTAGTATATATACATTATATTTACATACAACATAAACTTTGAAAATATATAAATTAGATTACATCACTTTGCATTGGCATAAAACTTTTAAATTATATTAATAAAATATGTATCATTAAGGAACTAAAATATTGGATGACACCATTTATATTTATTGAAATTTTTCTGTCCTTAAAGTTGTATATTCTTTCTTTATAGCTATAAAATACACGAGTTAAAATTTAGTGTTTTTATTATAGTAAAAGTTTATTAATTCATTGATATTGGCTTTAAATAAAAACAGAAATTGGTTATAGTATCATACTAGCAATATTTTAAATACATATACAATGTACTTAACTTTTTAATATTTTGCCTTTTTATTAAAAATTGCTGATTAATTACAATTACTTTGAGCAGTAAAAATATGCCAAATTAATACAAATGCTTTCAAATGGTGACATATTTAATTGTACACGGGTATATAAAATATATACAAAAATATCGAACTTTGAGATATTAAAATCAGATGTTATTTTTATGCTTGTACTATTATTAGATTAGTTTTCGGAATTACAATATAAAAATAATACAATTATAATACAAACTAATACAAATTAAACAACATTACACAATTGATTTTTTAATTGTGGATAATTTTAAATACTAATTTAAAAATATAAATAAAATTTCTAATATTCTTTATCAATAATAATAACTAATAAGTTTTTGTTATATTTAAGGCCATTTTCGTGATTCTCAATAGCTATATAATTCATGTAGACTGTCTGAAACACTTTAATACAAATTCCTTTCTAAATATTTGGAAGTTACAGTTACAGGTGGGATTAATACTAAAAATAAATATTGTATTTAAAAGTAATAATTTGTAGACAAAATCGATACTTTTATATATTAAAACCTGCTTTTTATATGTTTTTCTTTAAAATTTTAATGTCTTTGCAATATATTTAATGTGCATTAAAAATTATAATAAGTACTTAAATGCTCTTTGTTTTTAAATGATGAAAAATTGCAATATATATACTAAAAATATTTATGGAATTGCTTATTGTTTAGAATTGTCTATTGATTAACCAAGTGTTTAAAATATCTTTCATTGTATTTTTACAAAGTTATAAACCTAGTTTGGAATAACAGTACTAACAATCGAATATATGTGTATTGCAATATTTAAGATTTTTAAAGTTTATATGTATCTTAAATCTTTTAAATTACTTAAAATTTACTTTTTCTTAAAGAAGCTAGTAATGCTCTTGGATCCAGCTGCTGCTTTTTGTCTGGCTAGTTCCTTTTTACCAATTGTAGTTTTCTGAGGCTATATAAAGAAATATATATCATAATTTATCTAATTCAAATGCAATGCAATATAAAAAGTTATTACCTTTTCTAATTTGGTTGACTCAGTTGTTTTTGGTTTTAATACTGATTCATTTTCAGTCGTATCTTTCTTAGATCTCTTCTCATCAACTGTATCTTTAGGACTACTTAATTTTCGTTTTTTATTTTCTATTTCATCTGGTAGATTTAAATGTTGTGCTAATTTTTTTGATAAATCTTCTGCAAGATACTCTGATACAATACCATGTGCATATTTTAAATATTCTACACAGGAAATAAACATATTAAATTCACAGCTTTCAGTCTTCATATAAATAGATATTGTTTTATAATTGAATATTCACTGAAAAATAATTGAATTTGCCATTTATTAAACTTTTTAACACGTTTGCTACTAGTGTCACATATCTGTGACGCACTGTTTTCCATTGAGAGCTCAGCATTACACACGTGTGACAGCAATCAATTTCTTGTTTTCTCTGCATAATAAAGTCTGTTTTGAAGTTAACATTTGGCCCAGAATCACATATTTATGACACATTGAAAAACTAGATTTATGAACAAAAATATTTAGTGCATTTTGCAGAAATACAAAAAATAAGTTATGAATTATGGCTAGAGTGTTTTCTCCACAGTGCGGTAACGAACGTGTTAACATATCAAATTGATTTTATATTTTACCTATTTCTGAAACAGTTTCAAGCTTAGTACTTTTAACATAAGTAGCACTAATAGCACCCTGTGATACATGAATACCCTTTTGTTTTAATACTTCAACTACTCTTTCCACTTTCTTATGTAACCAGATTAATGTTTTTTCTTCATTAAATTTATAAGCTTGTAATGATTCATCTCCTTTGCGATCAGCAATTAATGTCAGTTTTAAATTTTGACATTGAACAAGACGAGACATTTCTGGAAAATCTTCATCCCAAAGACATTGTTCTAATGGCTGTGCTTGTTGTGACTACGAGTGTAATATTTTTTACTAGTATTTAAGAACATTAAACTCATGTAATGATGTCAATTAAATCCCTACATTACATTATAATAGATTAACATATGTAGTAAGAAATAAAATATAATAATGTAGAATTACCTTTCTTAAATAAGGTAATATTAAAAATATTGGATCAATAGGAGTAGATAAATGTAATTTCCCATCAGATTTTACATTATCATCTATAAACCATGACCTTTTATTTTCATCAAATGTTAGAACTTCTTGTACTGTAATATTGCCTGGACTAAATACAAACATTGCAGGTTGATTTGTAGCTGGATGTCTTAATTTAATAACATCAGGTACACCACCATCTGTATTATTTAAACTATCACCTGAAACATAAATATTACATTGATATGTTCTATATATTTTTTCAAATATAACTGATAATTAATAAGATATAAGAAAATATTCAGAATTATTGAACTTTAGGAAATGCTGATACACATCTAACTATCATAATAAACATATAGTACAGAGATTTTAAATATGAAATAATTTATATTCATTCACCTTTCATTAGAAAAACCCATGTATTTGTGCCTGGATGTGAATTAGTTGTTTTGACACATTTTTTTGGTGATGCTTTGGTACGCGGCATATTTACGCGCGTTTTACACAAATCGATATTACGTTAGGTTATTTAGTCCTTTCACACAATTTTCCCCTCGTATTAATACACATACATACAACAAAATTTAGCGATCAGCCATTTTTCGTAGAACAACCGAATTGTAATGTCTTATTATTCGATAGTTGAAGTATACTATACTGTGTATATCTTTTAATAAATAAGCACGTTAAACGCGACATGCCGCCAATGTTGTAGGGAACAACATTTGAAATCTCGATGTGTAGTCGAACATCAGTGAATGGTCGATGATCGGAGAATTAACAGAGAAGAGGCGTTACCGCGCTAACGAGCCATCTTTTAAAAAAGGAAGATGTATGAAAATCGTACTCTAGTGTGAAAGATTTAAACTACACGTATATGATTTTCATAGATATAATTTATATTTAATTTGTATATAATTTTATATAAAGAAAAATTAATATTTACACATATAGGAAAAAGCTTTGATAATTTTTTATCATAATCCTAACGTATGTTAATTTAACAATAGAATAAAAAAATATTATTACAAACAATATTCTTTCATATTTGAGTACTAATATATGTTTAATATATATTCATAGATTTTAAGCATTTCTTATGTTATAATTTATATCTTTTATAATAATTATATTAAGTAAAATTATTCTAAATTCATTTTTTGCATATTAAAAATAAAGTTTGATTAAAAATATTAATTTTGATAGATTAAACATTATATAAAAATAATAAAATTCATGTGTTATTTGCAACATTTGCATAATCTGACTAAATTTTTTTATTTTATATATCAATATTACATATGAATATAAAAATAAAATCTCATTACAAAAAAAAAAATTTGGAAATTTAGTAAAATAAATTTAATTATTTATGCACCGTACTTCTTTAATTCTTTGGAACAATTTTTTATGAAGTATATCATAGTTAATGAGAAATTAATAACCTTTAAAAAATGGGTGAAAAAAAATTCTATATAAATTTAGGTATAACCATTGTTATGCCATTATATTGTATTTATATGAACAAAATACAATAAATATTTAAAAATTTGTAAACATATATATATAATAAAACATAAATTTGGTAAACATATAAGATGACGTACAAGATATATTAACGAGTGTCACTCTTGAAATTCGTAAAGATGAGTAAGTAGGTATAAATATATTTGTACATTTAGTACGTATGTTTATGATGTCATTGGATGCATTGTAACGTTTTTTCTCTTACTCATTACTCACTCTCTCGTTAGTAAGCACCTTGAAAGACTACGGATGACGTGTGTGAAAGTGGGTGTGCCCACCATTATTTCACCGGCTATCAAACGGGAAAGATCTCTCCATTTTTACTTTTTGAAAACTGTGTTATTAGTAAATTTTTCTTAAACATATTTATTGCAAGTATATTTTCATATTTGTAAGTATATTTTTCTATGAACATATATTAACATAAAAGTTAATCTTGTGGATTATACGATGAAATCCGTTTGTATATTGATCAATTGATTAACAATTACTTTTATTTATTTCAGATACTTCCTTGCATAAACAAAAATGTCACAACAATATTATCCGTTCAAAGTAAGTACATTTTAATTGTTCAGTAAAAATTAAATAGAATTTTTTTATGCAACTATTAATCAGATTGTTCTATTTCTAGTATGAGTATTGATCAGCCGTATTTTTAACGTTACTTCGCTTGAATAAATCAATCAGTATTCTATTTATTTATGTAAATATATAATGTGCACTTTTAAAATAGCTCGTGCTTTATTTAAAAAAATTAAATAAGTATTATAAACTAAATAGTATCCAATAATAATTTTTAATAAAATATGTTTTAACTACAAGTTACTGAAGTATAAAAAATTAATACAAATGAAGAAAAGTTTAATTTAAAAAGTATTTATATAGAAAATTGTTTAATAATTGTGAACAATTTTCTTTTAATTACCTGTACCTTTGTACCAAGTCATTAAATAAATCATTTATATATCAAATATTATGTATTATATATCAAAATATAATCATTTATATAAATATTTTAATTTGTTTGAGATAATATATAAAATATTTTGTATTTTAGTGTACCCCTACAGTATATCCTGCAGAACCATTTGATGCAAATACAGATGCTGCACTATTACGTAAAGCAATGAAAGGTTTTGGTACTGATGAGAAAGCTATTATTGATGTACTTACAAGAAGAGGAATTGTTCAGCGATTAGAAATTGCTGAAGCATATAAAACTTTGTATGGCAAAGATTTGATTAGTGATTTGAAAAGTGAATTAACAGGCAAATTGGAAGATGTTATAATTGCTCTTATGACACCATTACCACATTATTATGCTAAAGAATTACATGATGCAGTTAGTGGATTAGGAACTGATGAAGAAGCAATTGTAGAAATTTTGTGCACTTTGAGTAATTATGGTATACGTACCATTGCAGCATTTTATGAAAATCGTAAGTTCAGTGTCTAGTATTTTTTTCATTTATTTAACTTAGTACTCTTTTGTTAAATAAATTACATAGTTTAGTAATATTGAATATTGTTTTCAATAGTGTATGGAAAATCTCTTGAAAGTGATTTAAAAGGAGACACTTCAGGACATTTTAAGAGACTGTTAGTTTCTCTTGTTCAAGCAAATAGAGATGAAAATCAAGGAATAGATCAAGCACAGGCTGTAGCAGATGCTCAAGCACTTTATGAAGTTGGTATGTATGTCAACATAATACTTTTAATGATAGGAAAATAGTTAAATTATTTTTAACAGTTATTAATATAGTTAGAAGATATATATTGTTTTGATGAGTTATTAAAACTTTACAAGTAATATTTGATGTAATAATAGTTATACATTATTTAAAAGAAGATGATATATTTATTTAGAATATATATTCTTATTTTATTTTTTGTATTTTAAATATGATTATTTATTTTACCATAGGTGAAAAACAATGGGGTACAGATGAATCACAGTTTAATGCTATTTTAGTAACACGTAGTTACCAACAGTTAAGACAAACTTTTATTGAATATGAAAAAATATCTGGTCATGACCTTGAAGTTGCTATTAAAAAGGAGTTTTCTGGAAGTATTGAGAAAGGTCTTCTTGGAATAGGTTAGCATGTACCTTTTAAAAAAGTATAATAAAGTTATAGCAATTACAGTATTAATTTAAATACACGTTTATACTTTATTATAAAAATGTTACGTTTTTATAAATATAATACAAATGCCATGATTTTTCTCTAACAGTGAAATGCGTGAAATCAAAAGTTGGTTTCTTTGCCGAACGATTATATGCTAGTATGCATGGTATTGGTACAAAAGATCGAACATTAATTCGCATTATTGTTTCTCGAAGTGAAATTGATTTGGGTGATATTAAAAAAGCTTTTGAAGAACGTTATGGAAAATCACTAGAAAGCTGGATTGCTGTATGTATTCATATTATTTTTTTTTCTAATATTTCATGATATACACACATGTTATTGACATACACAATTCATTATATATAAAAAGATAGTGAAGCTTGTATATAAGAAAAATTAATTAAAAATGATAATTAAATAATATAATTAAATATTACATTTTGGAAGATAAAATATATCTTTTTAATATTTAGTATATTATCAACTTTTGTATGTTTTAGGGTGATACATCTGGGGATTACAAGAAAGCTTTACTCTCACTTGTTTCTACTTAATTGAAATAAAATATAATCGAATCTAATGTCTTAAAGATATTCATGACACAAATGTATGATAAGTGTGATTTCAGTAACTTCAAATAATATGTTTGCATAAAATGCTTACACCAATTTATTAATTACATATATAAATATAAAAGATCGTCCATTTTAGTATATATTTTACATAATTATCGAATCTCAGAAGAATCGTAGCGGTGCTATAATGTGCTTTTTATAATGAAGTAAAATTTATTTTTGATGAAGTATACTATTTAATTAAATAGTACAGTTATATACTATTCTTTATTAAAAATGTTTATATATTTTACAATGAAAATTTAATATTTATACAAATTGTTGTAAAATCTTTATGAAAATAAATATATTAAAATGTTATTTCATTGCATATTTGTTACTGTATTATTGTATAATGAATACCCATGTTTTATAAGTAAATATGCTTTATGTATTTATTAGCTATACATAATAATGGATTAAAGTGGATGAAATTTTTTAAATTAAAGAAAAGATACAGAGAAAGATAAAATTTTTTAAATTAAAGAAATAAAAGATTGTACTACTAATGTATTTGTATGTATGGAGATAAGAAATAAGTTATATATTTTCTTTATATTTAGAAAATTATGTTATATTTACTTAATTTAAAAATAGTAATATTTAATTAAAAATTCAATTTATTATAATATTATTTATCATTAAAATCGGTATATACATATCTAAATTAGTATACACATTTAAATTTAACTTTAAGCATATTATTAATGCTTCATATTCATATGCTCAACATGGAAATAAGATTAATTGGAAATAGTAAATGTTTAAAGAGCAGTACTTGCCATTGTATGTTTATTACTCACTTTTTCTTCTTATTTCTTAAACTTCTACGTATAACTCCTAAAAGAAGAAATTCTTAGAATTAGTTCATTTTGGAGTAAGCTCTAAGAGTCTAAAGAATGAAGTACTATTGCTTCATGTTTAGTTTGCTTATACTATATATTTATATATTACTCAAATTGTTGATATTTCTTTATTCATTGTCGAAACATTTACTCATGATTAAACGACTTGATATGAATCCCGAATGTTTAAACAAACAGCAATATATTAGTATATATATATATATATATATAGTATCGATACCTGTAGCAGATGTATTGCCTTTTTTATTTGCAAACGTTCTTTTATTCACTGGATGGAACATAGCTGGCATTCTCTCAAAGCATTTAAGCATTGGAGTTGGTAGAGTTTTATCTAATGTAATCCAAGGAGAATTAAGTAAAGTGTGAAACTTTTCACTATAAAGTGTATGCATATCAAAAATGTTTTTTCTACAAAAAAAAATATTAAATAGTTATAAATAATATGTATTCTAAATTAAAAGATTTTAATACATATCTTTATATTAATACATTTTAGATTATTTACCCAGGATTTTCTACTGGTTTAGAAACAGCAATAAATGCACCATTTCTTATTGTATGTCTCATAAGATAACGTCCAGGAGATAGATTCGTGAGAGACTGAATAACATTATGTAAAGTTACCAAGCTATCTTCAACTTTCATGTTGTAAAGTCTTTGAATTTCATTCCTTATAGACATTGCTGTACGATATTCAATTTGCAACATTTCTGATGTTTTTGAAGATATTCGAACTGAAATAATTATTATATTGTAGATATATTATTATAATATATTTATACATGTGGTTCCAAAGATCTTAAAAAATTATTATATAATTAATAAAATTGTTCAACTTTGTTTAATATTTAGAACAATTAATAAAAAATTCAATATAACTGACTTAATACTTAGTATATATTTAATTTATTAGCCATATATATTATTAATCATTGTGGGTTGCGTTGAAGGTTTTGTAGTTCCTATGGTGCTACCGGTTGGTATATTCTCTTGATCGTCGTGCTATAATAGGTAGCAGGTAGAAGGACGCAAGGAAGTGTCCTTGGCCTGCTAGTGAACTCATCAGTAAGGCTTTCTAGCAGGCCCTGCCTTAGATGGGGGGTACTTAGGTAGTATAGGAACTTGTATTTATGGGAGGCCGAGGATTCACCGAGGACTTGCGAGAAAGTCTTCGAACCTCCTTCAAGTAGGAATCTATCTATTAGCGAGGCTAAGAACGATGCCGCTATAATCATAAATAATTTACCTCGTGCAAGAAATGTATGAGGTCTAAATATTAAAGATATCCATTGTTTTAATGCCTCTTCTAATGTTACAGCTTCAGCTCCAAGATCAGGTTGGTGCTCTAATTTTGGTGTTAGTATCAACAATCTCTTTTCTTTATTTTCTAAAATCTATAAAAATCAAATAAATAATGAACAAAAATTCTTTTAGTAATTTGTGACAGCATTTTTAAATTTATTTTTAAAAACTGAGAGTTAAGTTAAAAGAATATAACATTATATAAGATATACAAACCTCAAATCCATGTATTTTTGTTCGAACTAATATTCTATATTTTTTAATATTTTTCATCAAATTATTTTGTTCTGTAGGTTGTGGGCCAATACTAAATAAATTATATGATATCCTATCTTCTGTTGTTTCAAAACTTTTATTTGTTGTATCTGTTAATTCATAAAATTAATTACTTCCAATATTTTTACTATTTATTTTGTTCATTACAATCTAGTATAATTGTGATATTATTAAAGGTTCTAATAAAAAATTGATTGAATAACTAACTTAATTTATGTTTTAAAGATATAAAAGAAATACAACAAATATTTTTACCCTCATTAGCTGAAACATTATCATTGTTTCCAATATTCTTCTGTGTTGAAATTTCTTCAAAGTTTCTGTTTTTTTCAGATACATTTGAAGTTATTTCATTATTACATTCTGTTGAAATATTTTCATATTCTTCTTCTATTTTTAATAGTTTTTCAGAATGAATATCACCAAATATATTATCTTCTTCAATATTCTCACTGTATCAATTATATTAATTATAGCATTCATAAAACAAAAAAATCATAATTGTAAAAATATGTGTAAAGAACAAGTTTTTATCTTACTTTTTCAAAGTTGAATTTTTGATACTAGAAAAATAGTATTTAAGAATGTACTTATACACCCAAGTATTTTTTTCTGGTATAGTATTTGCAACTGGTGGACCTGGCTTATCTATGTAAATAACATTTTTATCATTATGTTTTTTTATTACTATGGGTAAAATCCATGAATTTGGATATGTTGGTCCAATGTTGTTTACTAAACAGTTAAGGCCACTTGATGAAATTACTAAATCTACATTATTATCTTCTGCTAATTTTTGACAATTTACATCTTCACTTACAGGTAATTTAAAAGAAGCTGATGACTTTTGGAAAGTATTTTTTTTAGGAAAATATGTTTTTTGCAATTGTTTTGAATTTACACGTAGCATGTAAGGTCTTGTAAAAGTTGGCAATATTATTTCTTGTAATGTACCCTAAAAAATAAAAAATCTTTATGTAATTAATGAAATGTAATACACAATATTATATTTTTTATTAATTATAGCTAATTTTATACATTATTTATAAATATTCAATATTTTCATTATTTACCAGTTCTAAACAGTTAGAAATAAATTGTACTTCAATGTTTTTATCTGTTACAAATGGAATAGTTGTTACTTCAGTGTAGTATCTAGGTAATTTATAAATATGCTGTAATTTCAATTTCCAATGTAAATTTATAAAATCCTCGCATTTAATTTTAAATGATCTTTCAGTCCATTTACTTTTTGCAAATTCTAAAAATTCATCTTGTTCTTGAGATATTATTTGTTGTAGATCCTGTAACACAGATAATATATAATTGCATGCTTTAAAAAATATCTTAAAATTATATCATATCATACTTCTTTATTAGGAAAATTATTTCAATAATTTTCAATATTATATTTTATGTACCAGATACTTTTGTAATTCTTCTCTTTGTGCCTTTGTTATCTTTGGTTTATCAGATTCTGAGAATCTTAACAAGACTCTCAAACACATTGCTTGTTGCTCTTTATCTAATTTAGATTTCTTAGGAAACTTAAATATTGCTTTAACAATACCAGGTACATAAGCCTTCACTTTTTGTGTATCTTCGTGTTCACAATCCCATTTCTGTTTAACTATTATTTCATTGTCATTATTAATTTCTTCCTTTATGTCAGGATCAATATCTTTTAGTAGATTGAGTTCAATATTTTTATAATCTTCTTCAATATTTTTAAATGGATCTACAAAATTCCCGGTCATAATTTTATGCATCACACTTTCTTTTTCTAATCTTTCACCATTAATGAAAGTGGCATCTATTAGGTCTTCTAATGGACAGTGCCTGTTAAGTCACGTATTATCAAAAATATTTATTATATAAAATTAATAAAGTATAAAATAATATATCTAATAATGATATTTTCTTAAGATCATATTGTTTAAAATATGAGATTTCAGAAAATATTATTACTTAATCATTACAAATATAATTTCAATAATTTGTTTCATTTTTTAAACTTATTAATATACTGTTGTTAATATATAAAAGATTAATATGTAAAGGGATTAAACGCACTACTAAAATCATGTTTAAAAAATGTTATTAGAAATCTGATAGAAAAATTTTATGAATTATTAAAGGCATATAGAATCATTAAACTTTACAAATCACTAAAGGTCTATAGGAAGATATACAAATGAGAGAAATAATACAAAGTTTTGGCTGAAAGAAATGATACACTGGGAATATTTATTGAGTGCAATTTTATTTGTACTGTTATGAATATTAAAGACAAATTATAGAACTTGGTATACAAAATAATGTGCAACTTAGGAAAAAAGTGAGTAGACCATGAAAGAAATGTTGAAAATGATGAATTTCTAATTAAAATTACAAATATCTCTTATTCCCTTTTAAGACAGAAAAATGGCAACAAACTTAATTTTGTTGATATTATCTTAAATGTGTACTGATTTTTAAATAAATTAGGTTATCTTAAGACAATGCTTTATACCTACCAGTCGATGCATAAAAATCTATCCATAATTGATAAAGTAGAACAAACTGTCAAAGAACTATAATTTATTCAAATTATCTTTTTAAATTATACTGTTCTTATAAATTTTCTTCATTACTATCGTATTAACAGTTTACTATTCCCGCTATTACTTTAGGTTATGACATGACAAATGTGGCGCTAGTGTTTTGTTTTTAAATTATACACTCATACATTTTATACTATACATTTTTAAATTATGCAATAATCGAAATAAAATTTACTCGGTTTTGCTGTTTATTATGATTCATATTTTGATAATAAATATTTATTTAATTTATTTGTTAAAAACAATCAAGTAAATACAATCGTAGTTTAATATATTTTATACAAAATAGAATACGAAATTTTATTTTAATATTATGTTTTACTATATTTAAATACTATTCAATGCATAGCTTTTAGTTCGTCGTTTCTTTTCAAACACTTGTAATAAAAATAATAATATTTTGAAAGAAAAATCAATTATCAGGTCTCACCATATGGAGGTAACTACGCATGAAAACTCTGGCTTTAAAGACATTACATATCACTCTAGTGTCAACAATTTGTATCAAAGTTATGTTTGTTTAACTCGAAGCGAAAGAAATTAAAATGAAACTACTGACACTTTCTTAAAAACTTCGTTTCTTATAAATGGGAATTTGATTTGGTATACTAAAAACTAATACTCTACTGTCACGACACTAAAATATTTTATTTCGGCGGACTTTGTTGTTTTTAACTAAATTTCCATAATAAGGTAATCAAATATGAAAAATGCGCACAAATAAATATCGGGATGCGCCTAAACAAGTTTGCGATTATTCGAGAGACCGACTCACCTATGCGATATACTCTCGTGTACAAAATAACTCCATGTTTCAGCACCCTCCCAATCAGTCCTAGCCCAAGATCAATCATTACCGATCACGCCATGAAGACCGAAGTTCGTTTCAATCAATGGGATTAGGAACCAAATAAGGAACCATCCTATTCGGTTTTACCACAGGTATACCCAGACTTATACCCCGATAATGTATGCGATGGTATTAAGGACTACTAGGACTATGCAATACGTAATAAAATATATTTATTAAATACATAATAACAAGTAACCATAAATAATTAAATAATAAAAAAATAAATTGTATAAAAAACAATTATAAAAAGATGTGTCGCGCCATTGTATATATTAGCTAATAATGATCACTAGCTCCTTTCGCCCCGCTATCATTCTTAATACTATTTCCTTTGTTAGCGTCCTTCACTGCTCGTAATACCACAAGTGGTACTCGCGACTCTAGTCTAGCCCCCAAGATACCCGAAGGTAGCCTTCTAGAGTCTAGGCTGAACTATGAGTACTGCGTAGCTCTTAGCTTGGCATCGTTTGCCAAAGATGAACTTATCGAAGATTCCGAAAAGTATTATATTAAATTTATTAAGATGAATATGGAAATACATCTTTGGCAAACGATGCCAATTACCAGGTCTCACCACGTGGAGGTGGCTACGCAATCGAGACCCAGGCCTAAACACATTAGTAAAATATAGTAGAAAATTTGGTACAGTAGAAAATACATAATATCACAGAAAATAAATCACAAAATGAATTTCAAATAAAAAGGAAATACAGTGTAAACTATAAAATAAAGTACAATATATATTACAAAATAAATTTGAAAATAAATTACGATATATAGGATGCCTAACATCTGCAAAGAAAGAAGAGCAATTAATAATGACACGGAAATAAAATTTCATATGGAGAATTGCAAATTGCATAAGATTATAAATCATTTCATTATAAATCAATAAATCATTTTTATTTTTATTTTAATCACTTATGGCGATTTAAAAGCCGCAAAAGGGGATACTTTTAAGGGAGATTTTTAAATACTGATCGCGATATATTGAATTTCGAGGGATTTAGATCGGTGAACTCTCAAATACTTTTTTCAATGTCATATCGAAAGAGGATACTTTTGAGGGAGATTTTTAAATACTGATCGCGGTATATCGAATTTCGAAGGATTTAGATCCGCGAACTCTCAAATACAATGTGCACAGTATGCACAGTAATACTACACAAATGTGTAAAAATATAATATTCCTGCAAGATATAGCGAAACAAAGTAGCGAGCATAGTGACAAAAATAATATTAAAAATTCTGATGTCTTCTTGTTGAAAATCCTAACTAAAAATCGGGATTAGGGATAGCTAAGGTATCGGGGTGACTCTACTTTTCAATTGATTCGACAAAAATTCATGTCAAGATAGAAGCATGTATAAATAAAAAAAAAAAGAAGTTAAATGGGGAAACTGTATTTCATTAAAAATATGAGAAATTCCAAAATCAAAGTAACACCTCTAATAATTTAAAACCATTCGAATTATTACTTTGATTTTGGAAACTTCTCCGAGGGGAATGCTTTCTTGTACTTGTATTCCGTAAAATTCCTGTGAAATAACTTTGATAATGAACGAAATGAACAACTACAACTTTCTAAATTTCTATTTAGAATAGAAATTAGAAATTTCTTCAATCGAGATTCTAATACGCCATGTACAAGAAAGCTCTAGCCTGATCCAACAAATACATCACAGAAATATATATTGCACGAGTGCTATTGTATATTAGTACATTAGCACTCGTGGACACTATGCTCGCTATGAGAATAAATAAAATACAACCAGTCACCCGTGTCGTTTCGGACCATTCGTCCTACGACATGATGGGCAACCAGAGGAATCGTAAACATGCGACTTACCGATCGTTGATCTCTACTCCGTATGACAGCAGCTTTCGACTGACCATTGCCTTCGTCCTGGCATCAAAGTCACTGTATCCTTCCCCTTGCCATGTCGTCAATGTAGCGATGTTAACATTGGTTGTAATTCCTTTTTCTTTTCTTGGAACACTTTCACAACACACTCGCGATGTCGCGGACGAGTCCGAACTTGTTACGGCCGATATCGAGAAAAAATATCGCGTGTGAACACGTACGAACGCAAACGATTTAGAAGTACTGTTAAAATTTAATTGTGATAAAAATATTTAATGACCACTAACACTAATGAAATTAAAAAAATAAAACATAGAATATTTATATCAGTATTAAATAGATAATTAGAGATAAAAAATGAATGAAATAATTAAATAAATAATTAAGTATTGAAGTAAACGAATTAAGTAAATCAATTATTAAATGTAAAAAGTAAATAAATAAATAAAATAAATTCTTTAAAAAGTATTAATCAAAATTAATTAGATTATTAAAAATGAAAAGTAAATAATTAAATTAAATAATTTATTAAAAGTGAAAAATAAATAATTAAATTAAATAAATTATTAAAAGCAAAAAATAAACAAATGAATTAAATAAATAATTAAAAGTTAAACATAAGTAAATAAATTAAATAAATTATTATAAGTGAAGAATAGATAAAGAAGTTAATTTAGGCCGCGCAAGTTATAATCTACACATCACGACGACCGAGGAGCAACTGAGTGTCCTGTGACCGTCGGGTGCTTATATAGTCCGAGAGTAACCTTGCC